GTTGACTGGAGCAGCATTCAGAAGGTTGCGGGTTCGATCCCTGGTCAGGGTACATATGGGAGGCAACCAATCAACGTTTCTCTCCCTCTCCCTCCCTCCCTTTCCCCCTCCTCTCTTTCTAAAATCAATAAATATATCCTTGGGTGAGGTTTAAAAAAATGATAAGCAGGTAGGGCCTGAGAAGGTGATGTCTGAGTCAAAATCTGAAGTAGGTACTCAGGGGAGTAGTGAAGACATCTGGCAAAGTGCACTTGTCACCGGTAGACAGACAAGGGAATGCAAAGGCCCTGGGTGGGAACATACATGCCTGGTGTGTTGTAGGGCCTGCGCAAAGGCAGGGTGGCTGGGGAGTGCGGTGGGAGTAGTATGGAATGATATCAGAGGGGCTAGGCTGTGCAGGGTTTTGCAGGCCAGCGGAAGGCCTGCGGGTGACAGTGGGTGAGGCAGGGAGTAATGACATCTGGCCTGTGCGGTCTAGCCACTCGACTGAGAACAGACTATGAGGCAATAAGTACAGAAAAAGGAAGACAACCTTGGAGGCTCCTGTGATAAGCTAGAATACAGATGGTGGTGGTTTAGACACAGGTGGGAGCAGGACTTGCCGACAGTGTGGATGCGGGTGGAAATAGAGGAGTCAAGGGTGACTCTAACCAAGGTTTCTGGCCTGAGCAAAAGGAAGGATGGAGTCACCGTGTTCCGGCACGGGAGGACTGCTGAAAGGAGGTCGGGGATGGGGGTGACCGTCAGGAGCTCGGGCTCAGGCTGGGGAAGCCGCAGGTGCCTATTAGGCATTACGGAGGAGAGGTCAAGCTGCCATTTGGATATTTAAGTTTGGAGTTCAAGTGAGAAATCTGAGAATTATAAGATGCTTTCTTTTGCTGTTTCTTTTTAATAGAAAATTTCAAACACAAACAAAAATAGAACAGTACAATAATTCCCTACATACCCCCATGACTTAGCTTCAACAGCCATTGCTTTCTGCTGCTTCTAGATAGTACTTAGAGCCTTGAGACGGGGTGTTATCTCCATAGGACTGAGGGGGTAAGAGAAGAGGGCGACCAAGTCCCGGACTAGCCCAGCATTGAAAGGTTGAGCAGATGAGGAGACACCAGCAAAGGAGACTGAAGATAAGCAGCTGGAGAGGTAAGAAGAAAACCAGATTACAGTATCCTGGAAGCCAAGTGAAGAGACAATTCCCAAATAACAAAAACAAAAAATCCTCACCCAAGGACATGTTTCCATTAATTTTTAGAGAAAGGAAGTGAGGGAGAAAGAAAGAAAGAGAAACATTGATGTGAGAGAAAAACATTGATTGGTTGCCCCCACACATGCCATAGGGGGAGCGAACCCACAACCTAGGCATGTGCCCTGACCAGGAATCGAACTGACAACCTTCTGGGTACAGTGAACGACCACCACCCAACTGAACCATGCAGCCAGGGCCCAAATAACTGTAATTACAGTATAAATGCTAAGGAAGAAAAAGTGTACAGTAAGAATGTATAACATGAGGACCAACCTAGTTTACAGGTCAGGAAAGGCCTCGCTGAGGAGGTGACATTTAAGCTGCCGGCCTTCATCCTGTCTCCAACTAAAATCCTGCTTCCTTCCTACTGATTCCACTCTAAAAAAAATTGGCTCCTCCTTTCTGGAATGGCTTTTTCAAAGACAACCTGTCAGCCAGTAGGGGGCGCTGGGGACACAGCGATGAGAAAGAATTCCTACTTTCAGTGGGCTTGTACTCTGGTGAGACAGACAGGCAAATGATTTCCTTAAACGTGGGGAGTGCTACCATCACATAAGCACAGCGGGTCTTGAGAGCATCAGGTAGGGGCACATAACCCAGCTGGGGGTGTCGGAAAGGCTTCCTGGAGGTGACACCTGAGCAGTGAATGGAGCGCAGGTTTGTCACATGCTTGGATTCCAAATCTTGCCTGAGGTCTCTCTAGCCAGCCTAAATCCTGACCTCACTGCTGGGCTTTACTCCCCTTCTCTGTCAAGGTGAACTGGTCTAGCTTGGGTCCCCCCAACCTCCCAGCCTCAGCCCCACCCCAATCTGCTCTCCTGTCCCCTTCTGATCTGCTCTGCCAACCTGTGCTCTGGAACTGCCGTTGACCTGTTTTCCGGGAAACATCCGGAGCTTCCTGCCCGCATGGTGCCTGGGACTAAGAGGGGCCTAAGGACTCCCTTTAGGGAAGATCGTATCTGAGGCAGGACAGGCAGTAAGAGCACAGGGGCAAATCAGCAACAACACACGGCAAAAACTGAAACCACTCGCAATCAGTTAAAGCCAGGAAGGAAGACAGCCCGTTTATCTTGCTCATTAGGAATCCCTGCCATGCTAGCAACGTGCATGGCAGGAAATAAGTGTTCAGTAAGTGTTAAGTGAATAGTTCTTACAAGACTACCGTTCGAAGCTGTGCTTCTGATTGCTGCGTAATTTTCCTAGCTCTTAGGTGCAGAATGTCTTTCTCAGACCCGGCATTCGGGAGGACCCTTTGCACAGCTCTTCACACGGCCACTTGATGGCTCTTTGAGAAACAGGTGCAAGCAGTCTGTTTTGCTGCCAGGCTTTTCTTGCATACATTTCCGAGGAAAGGCAACTGTTGGTATTCTCCCGCCGGTGTCCCAGCTTCCGGAGGCAGCACGTTCCAAGGCCCGACACCCAGGGAGCCGCGGCGGAGGGCAGCTCTGTAATCCATCTGCTCTGACGCCCCCTTCCCTTCTTCGCCGGCTCGCTCCCCGCCCGCTCGTGGGGAGGGCACGTGCCAGCGTCTGCGCATCACCCCCTTCCCCCGGTACCCAGGGCTGCTGATGGCGCGCCGTGGGCTGCCCAAGAAGGGAAACCCCGGAGGAAGCCATAGTTGTTACTATCACATCCCCGGGTGTCGTCATCCGCTGAGGCGTGCCTAAGAAGCCCCTTCTCCCGCACAGCGCCCCGCGCTTTCTTCCTATTCTCGATCTCGCCCGCGCCGGCCACCTCGCGCGGGCGGGGCTACCACAGCCCAGCCCTGTAGTGCCCGGTGGCCCCCTCCGCACCCCAGCTCCGAGGCTCTCAGAATTCGGGAAGTCGCGGGCCTGGTGCGGAGCTTAGAAAACCGACGGCGCCAGGCGGGACGTGCCCGGGCCCTGGCGCAGGCGGGCGAGGACATGAGTTCCACATTGGCTCTGACACTGACCAACGAGGTGACCTTAGCTCGTGGCTTCCGCTCCCGCCACCTCTGTTTGCCCCCCCCCCATAACCCGAGGAAGGAGCTGAGGTCCTGTGCTTCTAGGGGAGGTTGGAGGGAGAACACCACCCCCCTCGCTTGCCCCCTCCCCGCGTGTGGGCTCTGGGCTGGGTCTTGGGCGGGGAGTGGGGTGAGGGCGCCGGGCGCAGCGTGAGTGGAGGCGCAGCGCAGTGGGCTCGCGCAGACCTTCTTGTTCTGTTTCGCTGGGCTCCCCGGCGCAGCACGGTACCTACGCACACGCAGCCCGCAAACCCGGGCACCAGCCGCACCAGCCGCACTCTCCCCCGCCGGAACAGCCAGCCCGCCGCCCAGCTAGCTTGCCTAATCCGTTCAAGCCTCACCTCCTCCGCGAAGCTCTCCCGGGTTAACCCCATCACTTCCAACTCTGCCTGGCACGTGTTCCAGTTTTTGTTTGTTTGTTTGTTTTTAGAGGTGTATATGCAGTGTCATTGTTTGGAATAATGGTAATAATGTCGCTAAGCTCAGGACGCCCAGTGCGCTCTGACGGGCGAGGTTGAAGGGCTTCTTGCCTGAGCTTACTAACCACTCCCATCTTCCACGTTTCCCCATCCGTGCGTCACTCTTTCCCCTCCGCTCGCGGACCCCCTGCTTTAACACTTGGTCGCAGCTTGGAATGCACAATCCAGTCACCACCGCGTTTTAATCTACAGTGACAGCAGGTGTGAGGGGCAGAAGGCACTGAGCCTTTGAAGCTTCAGCTCCGGGCTCCGCAACCGACTTTGCTGCGAGTGGCTCCTTCCCCTGCTTCAGTTAAAATGAGGCAAAGGGAGGTAATGCCCCGGGAGGTACAACAGGATCAAGGTGACGAATCCCCTGTCGGCAAGCGGACCACGGCCTCCCTCCAGGAACAGGGGCTTGAGGCCCCAGAGCGACGGGGAGCTGCTCTTCCCTTCTTCCGCTGCCCCAGAAATCGAAGTGACAAGACCGCCCTCCCTTTGGTCACCAGTGTCGTGCCCGGAATCGGGAAGGGACCGCGGACGGGGGCCCAGCCCCAGCCCTTCATTCACTGGCCGCATGACCCCTGCACGCTTCTTTCTCTGGGACTCAGTTCACTCACCCGGAAAACAGGAATATTAGTGGATGGGAGGGGATCAGGAAGCTTTCTGCCATTCGAAGTCTCTGTATAAATATAAATAACAATGCACGGCACAGTGCTTGGCAGCGGGTTCCGCTCAGGAATTCTGACCCCACAGCCTCCACAGAGTGGTTTCTGGCCGCAGTCCCTGGAGTTCTCCCAGATGATCACACTGCTCGCCCCACATTCTTTCTGGTTCTCTCGAGACAGGTAATGGACCTACACCTGTTTCTGCCTCCGTGTAGGGGACTGGGGTCCCGGTATGACCCGATGTCGGAGGCAGAGATGCCCCTGCGCAGGCCTGCAAGGGGCAGCGGTCTTTGGGTGAGGGTTGGTCGGGGAGGCCCCCAGGCTGGAGGAACCTGTCGTGGAACCGGTGGGCGGGGCTTGGGTGGGGCGGGGCTAGTGCGCCAAGAGGGCGTGGGCTATGGAAATCAGGCGTTCTCCAGAACGCAGTGGGGGGGGGGCTATGGAAATTAGGCTTCTCCAGAACGCGGTGCGTAGGGGGGTGCGCAAAAGGCTCCTACTCACCCCACCTGGCTCTGGTGCGGGGCAACGGGGCTTTGCCTGGGGGGTGCTGCACTGCGGGGGCGGGGCTTAGGCTGGGGGGGGAGGCCCGGTGGCCTGGAGGCGGGGCTTAGGGAGCTCGCCCCATTCGGGGCGGGGCTCCAGCGGCCGCGGGATCTGCAGTTCAGACTCCCCACGCCACAGTCGCCGCAGTTCCCTCCACTCCGGTGGCCCCGCTGCCTTGCGGGGAGTCCAGGGGTCGGCTGGCCTCTTGGACCTGGCAAGGAGCCGGCCCCACCTCTCTCCCCCTCGGTGGGGCCTAGACGGTCGGGGGCCGCGAGGACATGGAGCCCGTTCCCGCCACCGGGGGCTCGGAGACGACTCGCCTGGTGAGCCCCCGGGACCGCGGCGACGCCGGTGGCGGCCTGCGCTTGAAGAGGTAGGACGGCCCTGGGCCAGCCCTCGGCCGGGGTGCGCCACCCTCCTGCCATCCGTCCATTTCGTTGTCTCCCTCGGTGCAGCCCGGGCCGGCTGCCCCAGCGCACCGCGACTCCCTCGGCCTCGGCGCGCGCGTGGCTCCCTCCTCTGTGGCCGCACGGAGACCCCCGCCCGCCTGACCGGCCCGCCCGGACCCCCCTGCTCTGCGCCCCCTCTGCGCCCCCTTCCAGCTGCACTCTTTCTCCCGGTCCAGCGAAACGGCGCCCCGGCCCGCCCCCCAACCCTCCGCACCCCTCCGCACCCCTCCGCCGCCTTTGGCTTCCCCGAGAGCCGCTGCCCTCCGTCGGAGCGGAGTCCGCGCCAGGTGCCCCGATGTCCGCATTGCTCCGGGGCCCTGGCGGTGGGAGCGCCCCGCAGCCCAGGCTTCGGAGCCCCATCGGCCGGCCCCCGCTCCGCACGCTGGGGCTCAGGGCGTCCCCTCCAGCCGTGGCCAGGCGCGGGCACCCGGACCGAGCAGGGGTCCGGACCCCGCGGCGGGTCTTCCAGGCGCCAGGGGCGCGGCGGGCGGGAGGAAGCGAGGGGGCGACTAGGAAGGAGCAGGTGCGGTCTGGGCGGCAGGGGGTATTCCGGGCTGCGCACAGACGGGGCCGGGGGCGGCGAGGTGTGAAATGAGGCGCGCGGAGCGGCCGGGACAGCGGGCCGGGGGCGGCGGGAGAACCGCCTCCGCGTCCCGCCGGCCTCCCGCGCGGCGCCCGCCTGGTCGTTGGGAGCGGCCCAGCCAGTGCCTCCTCGGCCCCCTCCGCTGGCCATTTTGTCTGCTGGCCGACCGTCCGTTTGTCTCTCTTCTCTTTCCCAGTCCTTCTGTCTCTCTCCCAGCCTCTCTCCTTTTGTCTTGGATATGGTGCCTCCGTGTGTGTTTCTGGATCTTTCTCTGGGTGGGGGCTGTGAACCTGGGTGGACGGGGGAGCCGAAGGAGGGAAGACACCGTCTGTCTCCTTCCTGCAGGGGACTGCAGACGTGGGCGGCTGTGGGGGCTCCAGCCGGGGCCGGGGCATCTCCTCACGTACCCTTTTGACTCTGCTTCAGACCATCTCCCCTCCCTGCATCTCTCTGCCCCCCTCAATACTATTTGTTGTTTGCTGGGGGTTTCGGAGGGCTGGGGAGAGAAAACTGCACCTCCTTGTCTCTAAACAGCACGTACGGTCCCCCCGCCCCGCGCCGCACACACGCACACGCTGACAATGAGGGTCTTTAGGGCCCACTTCCCGCAGAACAAAGGGGAGCAGCCTGTTGATGGGTGGCTACCTTGGTGCTGGCCTCGCTGTGCTGCACAGACCAGGAAAGGCACCTTTCCCCCTGCCCAAAGCCGCCCAGCCTCTGTCTGCCCCTCAGACCCACCTCTCTGTCTCCCAGCTCCTCTCCATTCTCATATGACCATTAGTCACCAAATCCTGCAGTATTTTCTGAAAGAGGTTCTTCGCCACCTAACCAACCCCTCCTCCAAAATTCTGCTCAGGGAGCCTGTGGCCTGGTCTGTTCTGGACACTTCCATCTCCTCTCCTGCCTTCCTCCCAGACTCCTCAGCAAGGTCATCTCAGGGCCCAGGAAAGATATGTGAAATCAATCAGTGTCTCTCCATTTATGTTCCTTAGAGTTCATCCCTTTCCTCCTCTGCCCTTTCCCTGGCTCCTCACGCTCCGTGTGTTTGCACTGCCCTTCTCCACCCAGGTCTCATCTGCATCTCTCCCTCCGTGATGTTCTCCTCACCCCCTTTAGAGTTGGTCCCCTCTCCCCTGTGCTCTGAAATCCTTTGTTCACATGCCTCCTGGCCCTAGCCTCTCCTCGCATAGTAGGTCATTTGTGGCACCTCTGTCTTTCTCGCTGGATTGGGCTTCAGCACGTATACACTGCCTGGCACCTCGCCGAAGAAGGAGGATGGGTTTCAACACCACCCTCACCTCCCCATATTCTCTGGAAACACCTGGAATCACACACATCCAGATTCTAAGTCTTGGAAGGGAGTTCCAATAAATGAATGTACCTACCAGCACTTGGATTTTCCCTACAGGCACCAAAGTTCCCCCCACTCCCCTTGCACCTGAATGACCCACTTGGAAGAGCTTTCCTCAGCCGGAAGGCCCCAGGTGCCCCTCCCCATGTTACTGCTGTGATTCGGGTTTCTATCTGGAGCCTTCACGTTCACTCATTGATATTCTCGTCACACTTCTGTGACTATTTCCAGGACAGTATTTTTCTATTTAGGTCCTTTGTTCTGTGGAAGGTTCTATCCTTGCTGGGGTTCAGGTTGGGTAGTAGTGAGGGTGAGAACTGGGCCAGAATGGGCCTAAAACTCAATCAACCTGAGCTCAGCGCTGGCATTCCCCAGATGAGGCCCTCAGCCCCTCTCACTTGTCAAGGGAGGTCCATGGCCCTGGGCAGTTAAAGTGGCCTCAGCTGGGTGCTTACAGTCACACTGAGATCCAGCTAACATGTGGCAGGCTCCAAAGCCAGTGTTCTTACCGCTACCATTGCCAGTCACAGCATTCTGCACACCGTCCTCCCCGTGACAACCCAGCTCTGGAATCTGGCCATTAGTTCTCTGTGCCAGGAACCTCAGACTTTTTGGGTCCCAACATTCCACTCCTCCCTTAAAGGACCACGCTGAGAGTGGAGGCACAGGAGGTGGGCCTGGGAGGTAGGAGGCACTAAGGGCAGGATCCTGTGCTGAATCTGCCCCACACCTCCACGCCGCTTCCCTTCACCACTTCTCTTCACATTGCCCCTGCCTGGTACGCACACTTCGTCTTCATGGAAATCCTCCCTACCCTTCCGAGCCCTCCCCATGGGGCCTTCATCGGGTTCCCCCTGATTCCCTCATTAGAATCCATGCATCTCTTGTCGGAGCCCTGATAGCACTTTAACTGCTCTAAGGGCGACAGCTGCCTTCTGCGTATCCACTCGTCTTGTCCACCAGAAACTCCCAGAGTTCAGAAAGAATTTGTTTGATGGTTTGCTCATTTGATATACCTTACGGTGCCTACATAACGAATTGATGTGGTTGGAATCCAGTCTCAGCTCTACTGCTAACTAGCTGTGTGGCCTCCATAAGTCCTCTCCCGCTCTGAGCCTCAAACAACTAATTCTTCTTCATCTTCATCTTCGTCATCCTTCTTTCTTCTTCTTATTTCTTCTCCTCCTCCTCCTTCTCTTTCTCCTCATCCTCCTTTTTCTTTCTGAAACACTAGCTTGCCTTCAATTTTAACCCTACAGCTTTTAAAAGTGGAATCAATCAGAGGGTGAGGGCACAGGGGAATAATTTTCCGACGCTTCTCTTGTAAACTCACATTCTAGATTCTTCTTTGAGTAAAGCAGGCTCAACTGTTCACAGGGCAATTTCGGAGCTGTAAACTGTCCATGTTCTCCGTTGCGTTCCCCCGTCCAGTCGTGGTTGCCGCGATCAGACGGACAGAGAGTGTGAGGACCCTTTGTTCTTGCACCGGCACCGGAACCGTAGGGTGGACAGTGGTGGCTCCGGGACTGTCCAACAGATGCGTGCCTCACACCTCTCATTTCTTCAGTAAGGTGTTAGACTAGGCCGTCTCTAAGGTGCTTGCCAGCTATGAAATGTTTACGAAAAGGAAAGGACAGCTGAGATCCGGGTGTTCATTTAGGCCCCATCTCTCGCGTGGCCCTCTGTCCACAAGGTCCCAGCTGTGACCAGACCTTGGGAAGGAGCGAAAGCTGGGCCACATCTGACAAAGCCTGTCTGCGGGGCCTGGGATCTGAGAGTGAGGAGCGGGTCAGCCTGTGGGCCAGGCCCCGGCGGAACCACGTTGCCTGCCTCAGTCTCTTTGCAGAGCCCTCAGAGGCCCTCCCCGAGGAGCCCAAACCTGTGGAGATGCCCTTCCACCACTGCCACAGGGACCCCCTGCCACAGCCGGGTCTCACCCCCGAGAGGCTGCAGGCGCAGAGGCAGCTGTGCGCCGCCTGTGCTGTGTGCTGCGTCTTCATGGCCGGGGAGGTGGTCGGTAAGTCGGAGAGCTGCTCCTGCAACCCCAGCCTCCCGACCCCTGCCTGAGCCGCTCTCCACCCAGAGTCCCAGGGATGTCCCTGGGTGGGGGTGCGGAGAAGATGCAGGGTGGCTGGGATGTGGGAGCTGGGTGCCCGGGGCTCCAGAAGTTGGGAGAGAGGGAAGGACAGCACCAAGGGGAGTTCAGGGCAGGGTCCGCACCCGGCTTCTGCGATAACTGCTCTTTTAAAAGCCCTATTTCTTGTTGTTAAAATACATTGTTGTAGAAAAACTAGAAGATGTGGGCGAGTGAAAAGAAAATAAAAACTGTGTCACCCCATCACCAGTGAAGAACCGCAGTTCTCATCTGGGCGTCCATCCCCCACTCCCGTTTCCTTGCCTGTACACGCACCTGCAGGACCCGACCGTGCTTGTTTCACCCTTGCAGGCGGGTATTTGGCTCACAGCCTGGCCATCATGACCGACGCAGCCCACCTGCTGGCAGACGTGGGCAGCATGGTGGGCAGCCTCTTCTCCCTTTGGCTCTCTACCCGTCCGGCCACCCGCACCATGACCTTTGGCTGGCACCGTTCTGGTAAAGCTTCTGCATGATCCGGTGACCCTCCAGTCTTGCCAGAGGGTACCTGTTAGCATCCTGGGCAGGTCTCTGATAGCTTGTCTTCACCTGCAGAGACTCTGGGGGCTTTGGCCTCTGTGGTCTCCCTCTGGATGGTCACTGGCATCCTCCTGTACCTGGCCTTCATCCGCCTGCTGCACAGCGACTACCACATCGAGGCAGGCGCCATGCTGCTGACCGCCAGCATCGCAGTCTGCGCCAATCTGCTGTACGTTCCAGTGTGGAGCGGGCACCTTGTCAGGTTCAGGGCAAGGGGCCCTCCTCTAGGCTGGGAGAGCTGGCAGCACGAATGCAGTCCCCAGCGGTCTGCCCTGGGAATGCCTGAGAGGGGACTGGGTAGGGACCTAAAAGTCAGAGTCAGCAGACAGTTGTGAAATGCCTGCTGTGTGTACCATCCCCTTTTGCTGGGGGCTTTCATAGTATCATCTCAGCTCAAGCTCACAACCACCCCATGAGGTAGGTTGTATGGGCCCTAGTACACAGTTAATGAAACAGATCTGAGAGGTGACCAGGTGACTTGCCCAGGCCACATAGCTATTGAAGTAGCAGGGCCAGGGTCCAAATTCAAATCCCTGGCACCGCTTGCTGTATTCTTGCCCCCAGGCTGCACTATTTGTCTCTCTTGGACAATGTCATCTTCTTCCTGGAGCTGGGAACATAGGGAGAAAATAGGTGGAGAAAGAGCTCCGGGGAGGTGAGAGGAGGTGGAGCAGAAGTGGGCAGAGGAGGCTGAGAGCAGGCCCCTGGGCTGAGCTGCTCTGCTTCCCCCTCAGAATGGCCTTTGTGCTGCACCAGGCCGGGCCCCCCCACAGCCATGGGTCCAGGGGGGCTGAGTATGCACCGCTGGAGGAGGGGCCCGGGGAGCACCTGCCCCTGGGGAACACCAGCGTCCGGGCAGCCTTTGTGCATGTGCTGGGGGACCTCCTGCAGAGCTTCGGGGTGCTGGCTGCCTCCATCCTCATCTACTTCAAGGTACTGTCCATCTGGCCTGCCTCAGCCTTCCTCCTCCAACCCACAGCCCATCCTCTCCTTCCCAGGACCTGCAGCCTCCCTCCCCCACTCCAGCTCCTAGCTTCCCAGGACTCCCGGCCCAGGGTCCCTTTCCCCTGCGCAGGGTTCTTGGGGGCCTCTTAGGGCCTGTTTGTCCAGCACACCCCTAGATCTTCCTCTGAAAGGTCCCTGGCTCCCGAGCTTAGGGGTCTCTCTCTCTCTCCAGCCTCAGTACAAGGCAGCCGACCCCATCAGCACCTTCCTCTTCTCCATCTGTGCCCTCGGGTCCACAGCTCCCACCCTCCGCGATGTTCTCCGTGTCCTCATGGAAGGTGACTCAGTCCCCACTGCTCCCCTTCCCCCGAGCCTCTCTCTTTTCTCTGACGCATGTGGGGAGAAGGCTGGGGCTCTGGGGCCTATTGCTGGAAGGACGCTTTGGGCCCAGGGTGAATGGTGGGGGTCAGCAGGATGAGTGGGGACAGCATGAGGGAGGCGGGGCTGCCCTGGGCAGGAGCAACTCTAGAAGAAAGGCTTGGTGGGTGCTGCTTGCAGGTACCCCCCGAAATCTGGGATTTGAGCCGGTGAGGGATACACTCTTGTCAGTGCCAGGAGTCCGGGCAACTCATGAGCTGCACCTGTGGTCCCTGACACTCACTTACCACGTTGCCTCCGCACACCTGGCCATCGGTGAGTCCACGCTGGCCGCAGCCAGTTATCCCTAGAAACACGCCTCCCTCCCCCTCCCCCCACAAACATAGGAAGATAGCCTGAATTACTGGGCTTCAGCCTCTCTCTCCGTCTCTCTGTCTTTCTCTCTCTCTCTCTCTCTCTCTCTCTCTCTCTCACTCACACACACACACACACACACACACACACACACGTGCATGGTGGAGCCGAAGAGCCTTATATGGCTAGATACTGGCTATTCTGGGGGAGGTTTCACTCTCTTTATTTTGTTTAAAGAGTTATTTATTTATTAGACAGGGGAAGGGAGGGAGAAAGAGGGAGAGACATATCAATGTGAGGTTGCCCCTCACACACCCCTACTGAGCTACTGAGGTCCTGGCCCACAACCCAGGCATGTACCCTGACTGGGCATCGAACTGGCAACCCTTTGGTTTGCAGGCCCACACTCAATCCACTGAGCTGCACCAGCCCAGCCAGGTGGAATACTTCTTTATCTTGATATGTCCTGGATCAGCAGGACAGCTGCTGTTCACAGTTTTGAGGCTCCTGCCCAAATTTTTTTTAAATTTTTTAAAAAGATTTTATTTATTTTTAGAGAGGGGAGGGGAGAGGGAAAGAGAGGGAGAAAAACATCAATGTGTTGTTGCCTCTCGCACATCTGCCACTGGGAACCTGGCTGGCAACCCAGGCATGTGCCCTAGACTGGGAATTGAACCTGCAACCCTTTGGTTCGCAGGCTGGTGCTCAATCCACTGAGCCATGCCAGCCAGGGCTCACCCTCTTTAAAGTGGTTCAGGGAACCAGTAGCCCTTTGTAAGATCGCTAGTTCCTATGTGGGATGGGTACCAGGGATGGGCACAGTTAGGCAACTTCCAGCACCTCCACTCACGGGGTGTCATGTAACTACTAAAAATGACAATTGTGAAGACTGTATGGCAACTAGGGGAGCTGTTTGCAGTCCAGTGCTGGGAGGAAAAAGCTGCATATAAAATTATATCTACATTATGATTCACTATTAAAAATATATATGGTGACTCACAAGCTGACAAAGTATTTTTGAGTTTCTTCCAGATGCAAGAAGCAATCAGAGACATGCAATTTGGATGCCAAAAATATTATACTTGGTGGGATATTTGATGGCAGTTCTAAAGGGACAATGGGACAGAATACGTAACATCTGGGTTGTCCTGGGAAATCGGGTGTCCTGGCTGCTGAACCGCAGCTGTGTGCGGACACTCAAAGAACAAAGACGATATAAAAATGAGAACGGTTTAGTGTGTTAGCATAGTCGATCTGGGGTGAGTCTCTCCGATCCTTTCTTTTACATCTGTGTGCTTTTCAAACAACGCAGAAAGCAAACAAAGCTCCCCCCGAAGCCTGGCTTTAATGCCGTGCAAGCCCCTGGGTCCCCCTTCACGGATCCTTATCTCAGCTGCGGCCTGGTGCCCGACTCCCCGGGAACCTGCTGTCTCTTATCACTCTCCCACAGACTCCACGGCGGACCCGGAAGCTGTTTTGGCCGAAGCCACATCCCGGCTCCACTCGCGGTTTGGATTCTCCAGCTCCACCCTGCAGGTCGAGCAGTACCAGCCCGAGATGGCCCAGTGCCTGCGCTGCCGGGAGCCTCCCCAAGCCTGAGCCGGCCCTGCGCTCACCCCACTGCCAGGCCCAGGCTCCGCCCTGGGCTCTCAGCCGCCGCCTCCTTGCTCATGGAGAAGGGACAGAGCTGGGCCCTTACCCCTTCCTCTCTCCCTCCTTCCACCTTCCACCTTCTCAGCCCCAAGCCCCAGTGGGCAAGACCAAAGTATTGGGGGCGGGGAAGTGGGGCGGGAATTGGACTGAGCAGAGAATCAGTGCGGTGGGGGTGGGGGTGGGGGGCCTGTGGTCCCAGCTCCCCACGGTCTGGGAGCCCGGAGCATCCCTTCCGGGGTTCCTTTGTCCGCGTGGCAGGCTGACTGGCTGGCTGGCTGGGGCATCTGCCTGTCTGCGTGCTGTCGGTGTGCCTGTGCCTGGGGGAGGTAGCAGGGGCCCCTCCCCGCGTGGCCCTCGCTCTGTCTATGCAGGAGCCCCAAAACTTGCACTTTGTCCGTGTGTCCTGGCCCTGTGGTTTTGTCTGTGTGTGTACGCGTGTGTGTTTCTTGGTGCTGTGGCCCGTGTGTCTCTGTGCATGTGTGGCTGTGCTGTGACCCCTCTGAGTCTGCACCACCTCTGTGTCCGTTTGGGGGTCTGCGTCCATCCCTCTGTTGGTGCTGTGCCCTGGCTATCCCAGAGAGAGGGGGGCACTCCGCCGCAGCTCCACCAATAAACTTGTGTCTCACTGCGTCTTTCAGCCCCTGTGCTGAGTCCTCAGGAGGGGGAGACAGAATCAGACATCTGAGCACCAACAGACTCATGCAGTCCAAGCGACCTTGCACAGGCCCCCGACCCCTTCCACCCCCTCCACCGTCAAATACACATTCCGATGATGCAGGCTAGAGCCCACCAGGCTCTGTACCCTGTTCCCTACTCACAGCCTGCTCCAGCGACCCGGTCTGTGGCTCAGGGAGAGCCTCCGGGAGCCCTGGGCTGGGTTGCAGGAGAAAGCTGGAAGGCAAGGAGCCAAGGGATTCTGGGGAATCATTCCTAAAGGCCCCATCCCTCCAGGGGAGCGTGGTTGGACCACAGTGCTAGTGTGGGCTCAGTTCTCAGGCTCGTGATGCGGGGGAGGTGAGCGGTGCGGTCCAGCCCTAAGTCCAGGTTCGGGCTGCGGGCACCACGGACCGCTTTACAGTGATTCCCGTTTTGCCTTAAGAATCACATATGTTTTTGACAGATTTGCTCTTGCAAACCAGACTCAGTGAGGGACTGATTTTTGCTTTTTAAAAATCAAACTTTCTGCTCTGACTTTAGATCTAGTGCTTTGGATCAGCAGGAGTTCACCGGCCTTCCCACCCCAGATTGATCACATTCCACCTGAAGCAAAGACACGGTATTTTTTTATTTGCCCATGCATATTTCTGCAAGGTTTCCCCCCCCATAATGGAAATATCTTTATTATAAAAATTAGTTCATTTTTGTCATTAAAGCATATTATAATATATCCTTGTTTTAAGGGGGCTCGAAGGAAATGTGTGTAAAGTAGAAAGTGAAATGTAGCCCCTGGAATCTACTCCCAGACATAGCTGCTGTTCACAGTTTTGAGACTCCTGCCCCAATTTATTTTTTAAAGATTTTATTAGCCCTGGCTGGCGTAGCTCAGTGGATTGAGTGTGGGCTGGGAACCAAAGTGTCCCAGGTTCGATTCCCAGCCAGGGTACATTCCTGGGTTGCAGGCCAGAACCCCCAGCAACCGCACATTAATGTTTCTCTCTCTCTCTCTCTCTCCCTCCCTTCCCTCTCTCTAAAAAGATTTTATTTACTTTATTTTTAGAGAGGGGAAGGGAGAGGGAAAGAGAGGGAGAGAAACATCAATGTGTGGTTGCCTCTCGCGCACCCCCCGCACTGGGGACCTGGCTGGCAACCCAGGCATGTGCCCTGACTAGGAATCGAACCAGCAACCTTTTGATTCACAGGCCGGCACTCAACCACTGAGCCACACTAGCCAGGGCTCCCACCTATAGTTTTATATAGACATACAAACACTTCTATATCATAATATAAATGGGACCTCGTTATCCTGTAACCTGCTCTTGTGAGTCAACCATACGTCCTGGCTGCACTTTGCCCTGTCAGTACACACATGTTTCATTACTTTTTTTAAGGTGAGGCCTTAGGACTGGTTGGAAGTGGGCCTCCCCACTCTGATCTTTAGCTGGGGGCCTGGGCCCAGGCTGGTGAGTCACGCCGGTCCGATGCTCTGAGGTGGACGTGGGAGGCTGCGCCAGGGTGACAGACAGGCTGGCAGCCCATCACACTGGGAGCGGGGAGGCTGCCCCAGCTGCTCGCCACGCTTTGCTAGTTCCTGATACTTTCTCATTTTACGTCTCATTGATTACTGGCCCCCAGCGACAGGGCGGGGGTGGGAAAGGGGGAGGAAATGGAGGTTGGGGAGAACGAGGACTAGAAGCCCACCTTCTTAGCAATGGCCTTAAGCTGCAGGCCCACCTATGTACACGGTGCCGGGGCCCTCTGCAGGGAAAGGAACGGACTGTTCGAGGCAGAAAGAGCCTCACAAAGCATGGGGTCCATCTCTGCCTCACACCCCTGCAAAGAGAGGATGAGGAAGGAGAGGCTAAGAGAGGGAAAAGGACTTCTCCATGGTCACCCATTAAGTGACAGGGGCCGGACCACAGCCGGACCACAGCTCCTCCCTCCCACTCAGGAGCCACTGAAGCTCTTGCTCAGCCAGAGTTTTTCGGCTCCTTTCTCAGCAACCTGCTGCTCCTGGGGCTCTGGACTCCGGCTCCTGGGCTCTGCCTCAGCCCTCAACTAACAGTTGGATCACTGATAACCTCTCTGCCTCCTGGCTTTCCTAACTGCAATAAGAGGGACTGTGTGACATTGTGGGTGTGAACACGCCTGGCATGCAGGGGGACTGTAGGAAAGGGTCAGCGTTACGGTGGAGTCCAGGATGCAGGGGAGAGCTTGCAGGGGAACAGGGTGGCCCGGCGCCCTGGCAGCAGGGAAAGGGGCCAACATGTACTGAACTAACACTTAGCGAAAGGCACTGAGGTACCTATTATCTGAACTTGATGCATGTGGAGAAACTGAGGCTTACCTGTTCAAGGTCATGCTGCTAATAACGGTCACAGCTGGGAGTCGCACTCAGTTCTGACAACTCTAAGTCCCCAGCCATTTCTTCCATGCTCCCTGCTTCTCCACCCACCTCCAGGCAGGGCTCCGTCAGGGACAGGGAAGGCGTGAGGGTCAGAGCATCTTTCTTCTTTCCAAGAGCAGCCCCGAGGGAGCTGGGGTATTCCTTATCTGCAGGAGCTGCTGCACCAACCCCCTTATCTCCCCAACCCACCTCGGCCACCAGCTTATCCAGAGGCCCTGTCTCTCTCGGAGGCCTTCCCTGGTGATAAAATAGGTGGTAGAGGGAGAGGTGAGGAGAGGGGCTGGGAAGGGGCGGGGCACCACGGGGAGGCCCACCATCCATCAGCCCAGCCCTGGCAGCTCATTACACGGCTGGTTAAGCAGGGGGAGAGGGGGAGGGCAGGGGCCAGAGGGGCCAGAGGGAAGGGAGAGCCGGAGAGGGCGGAGGGGAGGCAGGACTGGCATCCTGAGAGTGCAGGGGTAGGTATGTCCACAAGAGACAGGAGACCAAGGTGCCAGACAGAAAAGCCAGAATGGAAGGGTGCAGGGCCTGGGCCTGGGGGGCATCTAGGTAGAGGACGGGCCCCGACTTCCTCACGTCGATGCTTACCTGGGGGCTGCTGGGCTAGCTGGTGGGGGTATACACACCTTCCTTTCCATGGTGAGGACCCTGCAGGCCAGGGGAGCAATCTGTCTGGGGTCTAGAGGAAGATCAGGGAGATAAAGCCGTGTCCCCCTCCCTCCAGTGACTCTGCTGCCCCATCAGAGTCTTCCATGCTGGTCAGTCTACAGGAGGAGCTGTGGGCCCATCCCGCTGCCTGGAGCTAGACTATCGGAGGGGAGCGGCGCCCCCGCGAGGCCCGTGCCCCGGTAGCAGCAGGGGCAGGCAGCCCGAAGGCTCTGGAGGGAACTCAGGACCTGAGTTGGGATGGGAAAACCCCTGCCCGCCTCCTGGCAGATTCTCCCACCTCCTGGAGAACTGCATTCAAGGACTTTTCACCCCCCAAGTTGGGACTCCCCGGGCCTCCCAGTCTCAGCCATGAGCTGCAGGCCCATCCCACCAGCATGTGGTCAATAACTTCCGGGGAAGCTGGCCTGTTTCCTGGCCTCTGTGGGGCAGAACCTGAGGTTGAGGATGCAGCTGGGGTCACAAATGATCCCACAGAGTAGACCCTGTTTCCAGGACGGGGGAGAGAAAGCGCTGGGAGCACGGGTAGGAAGGAGGGCCGGGGTTGCCAGGGCCTGAGCCTCTCTCCCGTGGCCCTGCTCCCAGATGGTGAACCTGCTCTCCCTCTGCCCCTCTCTGCTCCCTGGCTCGGCGTCCTGCAGCCCCAGGAAGTGGTCCCCAGCTGGCCCGGGCAAAGCCCACTCAGAAGACAGATCTCCTCCATGTCAGAGCTGACCCTCTACACTGGAGCCACCCTGGGAAGGGCACCTCTCGTGGCCTCTGTCCCTCTGGCACCAGAACTCCGTGGCCTCTGTCCCTCTGGCACCAGAACTCCGTGGCCTCCATCCCTCTGGCACCAGAACTCCGTGGCCTCCGCAAGACTTCCTGGTCAGTTCCTAAGTGGGTGGCTCACTCCTGGGGAGAAGGAAAGCGCAGCCATCCATAGCCTCCCCTACCTGGCGCTCGAAGGGAAAGGCTGCAGGCTCCTTGTTCAGAACAATTTCCATTCGTAAAACGTGCAGCCTCCTCAGAGCAGAGCAGGAAAGCTCCGTGGAGGTGGGTGTCCAGGTGCGAGCCTTCTGACTGCTCCTCTCCTGCGGACGTCTGGTGCCAGGGTTCCCTGCCTGCCCCTCTCAGACCTGGGCAGTCTGCACATTCAATTCCATTCTCCTATTTTCTTTGGCTCAACCGAGATGGGCTGTACATTTTGAAAGGACTGTAGCCAAAAAACCTGGGGAGAAACGAAGGAGAACCAAACCCGGGAAGTAAGAGACAGTTCAAGCTTACCAAAATCAGCAGGCTTGAGACCCTACAACAGCAAGCTCGCCTTTCCCTGGCCGTGAGGCCTGCTCAGAGACGGCCTCCCGCTGGCTGGCCTCCGCCCAGCCCACCTGCTGCCCCATGCAGGTTCGGGTCAGGGCTCGTCATGCAGGACTCCTGGGAGGCAGGGTGTGGGGTGGGCGGTGGAGATTAGATGGCAGATCGGAAGATCGCCCCGAGGGAAGGCACCGCTTTGCTCGAGTCTGCCCCCCAGCCCCCAGCCCGCAGCCTGGCACCGAGTGAACGCTCAGTACCGGCTGTCGGTAAAGGAGTGAGGGGATGGAAAGATGGTGAACAAACGAACGTGGGCCCAGTGGAAAGCCTATCAAGTCCTCTCCTCACCCTCGGGCCCCCACCAACGGGCCAACAAGCCAGGGCCTTACCAGCTGACCCCCAGGGCGGATCTGCAGGAGCGTGTGGTGGTAACCGACCTCTCCAGCAGGAAGAGGTTGGTATTTCTAGGGTTCCTGGGTGGGGGTGACACGCCTGCGCAAAGCCCTGTCCTGGGTGGACATGGTCGCCCCAGCTTTACCACAAATTCACGGAACCTAGGCTCCCCTCGCGCCCAACTCTGGGACCCTGCCATTAATCTCCTGTGGGTTCATCACAGCTGTCCCGGGCTTTTTTTTTTTTTTTTTTTTTTTTAAAGAGGGAAAGA